TCTTGTTCTCGTTTGACTGGAGCATGAGAGTTGAGAAAACTCTCAATGTAAACTCTCGCTTCTCAACTCTCATCAACTTTCATGCAACTCTTGTTCTCGTTTGACTGGGGCATGAGAGTTGAGAAAACTCTCAAGCAAACTCTCCCTTCTCAACTCTCATCAACTCTCATGCAACTCTTGTTCTCGTTTGACCGGGGTATGAGAGTTGAGAAAGCTCTCATGCAAACTCTCCTTTCTCAACTCTCATCAACTCTCATGCAACTCTTGTTTTTGTTTGACCGCGGCACCAGAGTTGAGAAAACTCTCATGCAATCTTTCGCTTGCGAACTCTTGTCCTCGGGCTTAAGTTACAAATACAATTATATCGAGACCATCATCTTGATAGAATATGATGAGAGTTTTCTAGTTGCTACGCGCGCGGTAATAGTCAACTAGCTCATCAATTATTCTCATGCAACTCTTGTTTTCGTTTGACCAGGCCATGAGAGTTGAGAAAGCTCTCATGTAAACTCTCGCTTCTCAACTCTCATCAACTCTCATGCAACTCGTTTGATCGGGGCATGAGAGTTGAGAAAACTCTCAATGTAAACTCTCACTTCTCAACTCTCATCAACTCTCATGCAACTCTTGTTCTCGTTTGACTGGAGCATGAGAGTTGAGAAAACTCTCAATGTAAACTCTCGCTTCTCAACTCTCATCAACTTTCATGCAACTCTTGTTCTCGTTTGACTGGGGCATGAGAGTTGAGAAAACTCTCAAGCAAACTCTCCCTTCTCAACTCTCATCAACTCTCATGCAACTCTTGTTCTCGTTTGACCGGGGTATGAGAGTTGAGAAAGCTCTCATGCAAACTCTCCTTTCTCAACTCTCATCAACTCTCATGCAACTCTTGTTTTTGTTTGACCGCGGCACCAGAGTTGAGAAAACTCTCATGCAATCTTTCGCTTGCGAACTCTTGTCCTCGGGCTTAAGTTACAAATACAATTATATCGAGACCATCATCTTGATAGAATATGATGAGAGTTTTCTAGTTGCTACGCGCGCGGTAATAGTCAACTAGCTCATCAATTATTCTCATGCAACTCTTGTTTTCGTTTGACCAGGCCATGAGAGTTGAGAAAGCTCTCATGTAAACTCTCGCTTCTCAACTCTCATCAACTCTCATGCAACTCGTTTGATCGGGGCATGAGAGTTGAGAAAACTCTCAATGTAAACTCTCACTTCTCAACTCTCATCAACTCTCATGCAACTCTTGTTCTCGTTTGACTGGAGCATGAGAGTTGAGAAAACTCTCAATGTAAACTCTCGCTTCTCAACTCTCATCAACTTTCATGCAACTCTTGTTCTCGTTTGACTGGGGCATGAGAGTTGAGAAAACTCTCAAGCAAACTCTCCCTTCTCAACTCTCATCAACTCTCATGCAACTCTTGTGCTCGTTTGATCGGGGTATGAGAGTTGAGAAAACTCTCAATGTTAACTCTCGCTTCTCAACAACTCTCATGCAACTCTTGTTCTCGTTTGATCGGGGTATGAGAATTGAGAAAACTCTCAATGTGAACTCTCGCTTCTCAACAACTCTCATGCAACTCTTGTTCTCATGCAAACTCTCCCTTCTCAACTCTCATCAACTCTCATGCAACTCTTGTTTTTGTTTGACCGCGGCACGAGAGTTGAGAAAACTCTCTTGCAATCTTTCGCTTGCGGACTCTTGTCCTCGGGCTTAAGTTACAAATACAATTGACTTTTATTTTCAGAACAATGCCTCTTCTAGCGCGTACCGAAACAGCGGTCTATTTCATCACAATAAGAGTATTTCTGGCTTACTGTTTCTTGAGAAAGACAAAAATGACGAGAGGTAGGGAACATCATTATCACATGCAATCATCCGCTGCATCACACGGAAACCAGGTTTTAAAGAGTCGATCTCTCGTTTGTGTGTTTAACTCTAGTTTGCTGGAACTGCTCGTTATATCTTACCAAGGACAGCTGAACAGCTACGTTATCAAGTAAAGTATTTCCTATCTTCTTGGAACCTTTTAACCAAGCATGTTCTTTAAACTATTCGTCTGATGGTGGCTTTACAGTCAACTCGGCCCACTAACCAACTCGGCCCACTAACCAACTCGGCCCATCGTTCAAGGACCAACTCTGCCCGCTTGTAAACTGACTAATCTAACCAATAAGCAAGCTAGGGGCCATGACTGCGTTAGATCTATCTTTGCACATTTTGAGAGAGATTTGAATGATCAGTAATTTAGTATCAAAACGGACAGATCGAGAATTTGAAACTTCGATAGATTCTTTAATTAAATTAAGTCAAACTGGATGTTCTCAAACTTTACTCATCTGTATGCCCAATGCAACTACAAATGACTGTATTGGTTTGGTGCTATCTTTTGTAAAATATTAGCTTTCCTAATATGTCAAACAGTAGTTAACAATTGGGCCAAGATGGTATGGGCCGAGTTGGTCAGTGGGCCGAGTTGACCAGCTTCCTGATGGTGTACTTTCCTACCGTTTGTAAAAAAGCTTGAAAACCTTTAAAACTAAAGATATTAATAAACAGAAAAGTTGATAATTAATATTTATACATATAGTAAACTTTAATCTGGGTTAGAGCAATCAACCGACAATTTCAAAAGCTTGAAAAAATCACTATATCCAATGGATAGCGATATTTTGAAATATAGTTCACATGTACATTTATTGAACAATGATATTGTTTAAAATTTCTAGTAGCCACAGCGGAGAACATAGCAGGAAGAAGAGCTTCTCTTTTCAGTCAGTCTTACCTCACGGCGTTTCAACAGCTTTGTATTATCCTTCCACGAAACTTCTCATTCTTGGCACTTCTGCTGCTGGCACCATAGGAAAAACAGCGCTAGGGAATGGCGTTACTCTATGGAGACTGTTATTTGATCAACCGTATTTCAAGCTTATCGAAGATCAAGCTCTGGAAATTAAGAAGGTAGCGTTGTGGTTATCATCACAGCAGAATAACACTTACTCAGATAAAACAATTTTATGTTCCTTGCTACGCAATTCACATTTTCAGAAAACTCACATGCCTAGTTACCACTGTTCTGATAATGTAAGCATAGAATGAAACAAAGGTAACCAAGCATTTAAATTATATATGTGAGTGAATTGGATGGGATTAACTCGCATGTCTAGTTACCACTGTTCTGATAATGTAAGCATAGTATGAAACAAAGGTAACCAAGCATTTAAATTATATATGTGAGTGAATTGGGTGGGATAACTCACATGTCTAGTTACCACTGTTCTGATAATGTAAGCATAGAATGAAACAAAGATAACCAAGCATTGAAATTATATATGTGCACTGAGTGAATTGGGTGGGATAACTCACATGCCTAGTTACCACTGTTCTGATAATGTAAGCATAGAATGGAACAAAAGTAACCAAACATTTAAATTATATATATGAGTAAATTCGGTGGGATAACTCACATGGTTTAGTTACCACGCCATTGTTCTGATAATGCCAATCGTTTAAATAGCCAAGCGTTAAAATTATATGTACAGGGATAAACATGCATCAGGTCGTTTGGTCTTCTGATTGAATATTTTATTCGTTTTAGACTCAGCAAGGGACGGGCCTTATTGCCAAGCTCTTACCAGCAAGGACAAACAATAAACAGGTATTGGTGGTTCTCAGTAAGCTCTAGAGGGCTGTACTTATAGGAACGAGCAAACTACGCTATTTTTTAAGAATTTTCGACATTAAAGCAAGGGAAGAGTTTGACAATTTAAAACATTCCTACCAAACATATTTCGTCTTCCTCTCTTCCTCTTTTTAAGAAGTATGTTTCACGAAGCGCTGGAAGAGAAGGAGACGAAATATGTCTGCTAGAAATGTTTTAAAGCAAACTAAACTACTTTATTCTTCACCGAATACAAGACTACAATGTAAAGGATTTTAAACCATTATTCTCTCACTTAGTAAACCAGCCTTTACAAAGTTGTATTTTCACTTTCTTTAAGCATGGCGTGTGGAAGATGAGCCTGGGATTGGACGGCAAAACATTGCTAGTGTTACATTTCTCAGGGAGATTGTCTCTGTGGGAACTGCCATCCTTGAAACAGAGAGAGGCCTGGGAACGAGCAGAACAGGTGTGCGAATTTTATCTCAAAATGTGAGAAGAATACTGGACCTCTAGGAAGAACAGTTTAGAACTGATTGAGCTACCCAGAATAAATAAAGTTAGTTTAGTTTAGGTTTCCTCCTGTAGTAACACTGGATCAATAAGAGATTTAGAGACGATCCTTACTGGACCTCTAGGGAGAACAGTTTAGAACTGACAGAGCTATCCAGTATAAATAAAGTTAGTTTAGTTTAGGTTTCCTTCTGTAGTAACACTGGATCAATAAAGGATGACCTTTACTGGACCTCTAGGAAGAACAGTTTAGAACTAATAGAGCTATCCAGTTTAAAGAAAGTTAGTTTAGTTTAGGTTTCCTCCTGTAGTAACACTGGATCAATAAGAGATGATCCAAACTGGACCTCTAGGAAGAACAGTTTGGGACTGATAGAGCTTTCCAGTATAAATAAAGTTAGTTTAGTTTAGGTTTCCTCATGTAGTAACTCTGGATCAAAAAGAGATGATCCTCTAGGGAGAACAGTTTAGAACTGATAAAGCTACCCACTATCCAATATAAATAGAGTTGTTCAGTTTAGGTTTCCTTCTGTAGTAACACTGTATCAATAAAGGATGACTCTTACTGAACCTCTAGGGAGAACAGTTTAGTTTAGTTTTCGCTCTTAGCGTTAAATTCTCCTAAATGCTTTTTATATTATTTAGCCTGATTACAAGAGCGAAGACGCCCATGTTCATTTTCCAAGCTTAAATCATTCAAAGCGGAAAGGTAAGAATTTAATTCCACATTTATGTCAAATATAAGTTGCCAAATTGATGATTCACTCTGCATGTTTTACTCCAGTTGAACAAAAGGGTTTCGTCTACGACATTGGCTGGTGGTCAAATGATGTAAGTCCTTCATGTTGTCTTAATTTCGTTGATGTGTGTAATGAAATGGAAACGTAAAAATTATGAAAACCGTATCTGTATACGATTAGTGTAATAATATCGTACATTTACATTTTGTACACACGTAAAAATCTCACAACTTGTCAAAACAAGATGTATTCGCAACAGGCTTGTAGCAAGCTTGTCAACAAGTTGTGTCAACGCTGTTCTATCATCAAGTTGCTACACGCTTGTTGAGAAATTGTTGAATTGCAGGCGATGACAAGTTGTTGGAACAACTTGTGACAAGTCTGTTGAGCTCAACACCTTTGTAGCAAGTTCTCAACAAGCCATTGACAACTTGTTAACAAGCTGGGAACAAGCAGTGCGAACACATCTTGTTGTCAAGTTGTTGGAACAGCATTGCTACAAGTCTGCTGCAGATTTGTTACAACTTGTGCGTTTTTACGTGTGTACATGTATGTAGTGTGAGATATTTCACCGAATATAACATTATTTTTTTTTTTTTTAAATGTAGGCGATGGTTTTAGCGCGACGTTCCGGTGCTTTGACAGTATCAACTCTTGACAAAAGGTTAGTTTGGGTTTTGGTTAGTTTTTTTTTACACTACACAAAGTTTGCCTAAAACTGTCGCATGTAACCTGCTTACAACTTGAGTTGTACTGTGTAAATCAAGCCCGCAACTCACTTACGCTGTCGTTGTCATAGGTGAGTTGTGTGCTTGATTTACACAGTGCAACTCAAGTTGTAAGCAGGTTGCATGCGACAGTTTTAGGCAAAAGTTGTGTGCTGTAAACCTGCCTTCAGAGTTTGTTTTTAATTTAACGATACTGTTCAATGTTCAGTTTGCAGAATATTCTTGGACAGTTCGCCGAATGGTGTGAGCCATTTCCGTTAGTTACCAGTGCCCACAACGGAGGCTTTCTTATCTTAGAGGTAAAAATCACTTTATTGAAACCTTCAAATGCTCCTTTGTACAAACATTGAAGTCTCACGCGAGAGTAGACAATGTTTTTCTCGTGGCATTTTATCTTTGAATGCACACGACGTGCCACTCAGTGAGCTCAATTATGTAACTGAAGTAAGGGATAGACCCTGATGTAAGGTCATGATATGCCAAGCGAGCTCTATATTATATATAAACTGAAGTAATATCTTGTGTTGTTATTTCATATTCTAGTGCGAGAACAATGTCGTGTCGTTGAGTCCAGTAAGGAAGACTATGGTTGATGAGGATGAACAGGGGACACATGATGATGACGAGGATGATGAGGAACATCACGTGGTCACAAAAACCAAAGAACTTGCAAAACATGTAAGATGGAATGCTTTGTCTGACACTTTGTATGTGCAATCAGTCCTTGTAATGCAGTAGTTAGTACATTTGTCTTTCAATTCATCTCTGTGACTGGGGTTTGATTGATATGCAGTTGTCTGATTATAATCTCACCTCAGTCACATGTGAGAAGAATGCTTCCTTCCTTCTTTGCATACCCCCTTTATACCGTATACCTTCTCAATATCACCAATGAAAAACAACGGTTTTCTTAAAAGTATTGAATTTCATACTGTAACTCTGGCCCTTGTTTTGTTTTAAATGTTTTAGGTTTTGTATTTCCTAACCGAGAGTGAAAGATTTCGTCCTCCTGTTAGACGACCAAAGTACGTTCATGAACTTTCATCTATTCCGTAGATTTGTTGTCGATTTAGGCCGCGTTTACACTACGACGCTACGGCAAGTTTACCGTAGCGTAGTGATTTGCATCCGGAGTGCCAAACGTAGTGGTGTGTAGTTAATACGCTACGGCAAACCACTCCGTTATAGTGTAGACACAATACTAAGAAACGTAGTGAATTTTTAACGAAATTAATTTCCGCAGTTAATACGCTACGGCAACCCACTCCGTTATAGTGTCAACACAATATAATTCCGTAGTTAGTACGCTACGGCAAACCACTCCGTTATAGTGTAAACACAACATAATCTCAATACTAGAAACGTAGTAAATTTTTAACGGAGTGTTTAGCCGTAGGGTCATAGTGTAAACACGGCCTTAAAGTTCCTTATCATGCATGAACAGAATATTGATTTACTCTGTCACTGTCATTTTAGGATTTTAAAACAAACCTACCGACTACTCTGTCTTCGTTCTACCACACCTGAAGAACTCTATACCAGAAAGGTACACTTAAAACTAAGCTAACTTTATTTATACTGGATAGCTCTATCAGTTCTAAACTGTTCTTCCTAGAGGTCCAGTAAGGATCATCTCTTATTGATCCAGTGTTACTACAGGAAGAAACCTAAACTAAACTAACTTTATTTATACTGGGCAGCCCTATCAGTTCTAAACTGTTCTTCCTAGAGGTCCAGTAAGGATCATCTCTTATTGATCCAGTGTTACTACAGGAAGAAACCTAACCTAAACTAACTTTATTTATACTGGGCAGCTCTATCAGTTCTAAACTGGTCTAGAGATGTCCAGTATAAGGGTCACCCTTTATTGATCCAGTGTCACTATAGGAGGAAACCTAAACTAAACTAACTTTATTTATACTGGATAGCTCTATCAATTGTAAACTGTTTATTGGTCGATCTTTTAGATTGAACTTGAGGAATACGGCGAGGCTCTGGCTCTTGCGCAGTCTTACGATCTGGACTGCGACCTCGTTTATCAAAAGCAGTGGCGGAAATCAAAAGTGACCGTGTCCAGCATTCATGATTATCTGGTAAATGGTTTAATTTCTTTACTTTCTTTGTTTTTCATTTCTGCTGAAGGCTTACTGGCTTATTTTTCTCCTCAGAGCAAAGTCACAAAGCGGATATGGGTATTACACGAATGTCTTGAGCGAGTCGCGGAGGATCTGGATTCCACTAAAGCGCTGTTGAAGTATGGCTTACACGGGACTGGGCTTCCTGTGTTGGTTGCTATGGGTGACACGGAACATCCGTTTCTGAAAGAGGAAGATGAGGAAGACGGGGAAAATGAAGTGGAAACACAAGAGGAGCGGGAGAATGAGACGAGATTGTTGAAAAGCATTGATTTTAACAAGTATGTGGAGTTTCATGTTTTTCCTAAAAACTGTTTAGTGTCACGAACTTACTGTTTGAAACTAACTTTATTTATACTGGATAGCTCTATCAGTTCTAAACTGTGCTTCCTAGAGGTCCAGTAAGGATCATCTCTTATTGATCCAGTGTTACTACAGGAGGAAACCTAAACTAAACTAACTTTATTTATACTGGATAGCTCTATCAGTTCTAAACTATTCTTCCCAGAGATCCAGTAAGCATCATCTCTTATTGTCATTGATCCAGTGTTACTACAGGAGGAAACCTAAACTAGACTAATTTTATTTACCCTGAATAGCTCTATCAGTTCTAGACTGTTCTTCCTAGAGGTCCAGTAAAGATCATCTCTTATTGATCCAGTGTTACTACAGGTAGGATTGGAGAACTAGGAGAAAACATGACAGAATCAAACTGGATGCACTTTCCTCGCATGTGACTAAGGTGAAATAATTTATAATCAGCCAAATTCGCATGCGCTGGCCACTGTGTCATCAGCATTTATAGCCGTGGCCATTTTGTTTCCAGATTATCAGTCGAGCAACGTAATATATGTCGCTATCGTCTGCGCTTCTTGAAGTACTGGGACCGACTCTCGACATACGAAGCAATCCTTGGTGGGCCCGCAGTTGCACACGACACCTTTGACTGCGGTTTCTTCAGCAAGTTTCGGGACAGTAATATTGTTGAAACGTCCGTAGAATTTGCAAGGGTAAGCTGTTTTCATCATGGTTCTATTTTGTCGAAATTGTCGCAACCAAATTGTGGGCACTGACGTCGCGTCTATCTTGCCTTTTGTGTGCTGTATGCAAAGCAGTCTTTATTGATTGCAGAGATATATCAAGGGGCTGACCATGATCAGACATGAGTGATAAGGTGGCTGGCAGAGGCGCCCTTAGTAAGCCTTCAACTTCATCAGGTTGAGATGCGTCCTTTACAATGCAATTAAGGATGATTAGCGCACACACCCACTTACTTACCTTCGTATAATAGCGATAGCCACCTTTACTGAAAATCTTACCTGACTTTAACAAGGGTCAGAATGTGTCATGAAAATATCTATGACTATGATCCATATTATATTGTTATAGGATAACGATTGGAATGCTGTTGATTTGCTACTGACTTACCACGGGAAAGAAATCTTACCTCATTACCTTTCCATCTTGTCAAATTTTCCCGAAACCACGACTCCGTTCGATTATAGAAGTCTTCTTCCTGAAGCAGGGTATGTTTTTTTCTTTTCCTGAAGGCCTTTTGCAATTTTTATTGGAAGAACAGCCTAGGAAGAACAGTTTAGAACTGATAGAGCTATCCAGTATAAATTAATAAAGTTAGTTTAGTTTAGGTTTCCTCCTGTAGTAACACTGGATCAATAAGAGATGGTCCTTACTGGACCTCTAGGAAGAACAGTTTAGAACTGATAGAGCTATCCAGTATAAATTAATAAAGTTAGTTTAGTTTAGGTTTCCTCCTGTAGTATTACACTGGATCAATAAGAGATAGTCCTTACTGGACCTCTAGGAAGAACAGTTTAGAACTGATAGAGCTCTTCCAGTATAAATAAATGTAGTTTAGTTTAGTTTTCCTCCTGTAGTAACACGGGATCAATAGAGATGATCCTTACTGGAGCTCTAGGGAGAACAGTTTAGAACTGATAGAGCTATCCAGTATAAATTAATAAAGTTAGTTTAGTTTAGGTTTCCTCCTGTAGTAACACCGGATCAATAAGAGATGATGATTACTGGACCTCTAGGGAGAACAGCTTAGAACTGATATTCCTGTAGTTATACAGTATAAATAAAGTTAGTTTAGTTTAGGTTTCCTCCTGTAGTAACACTGGATCAATAAGAGATGGTCCTTACTGGACCTCAAGAGAAAACAGCTTAGAACTAATAGAGCTTTTCCAGTGTACACAAAGATAGTTTAATTTAGTTTGGTTTTGTCTTCTTTAGAATCGAAGAAAACGAGCCGGAGGTTTACGACTTTGAGCAGAAAACATGGCGGACACAGGACTGGGTGGAAAATCGAAAATATTTAAAAATATTTGAAAGCGAGGCTAAGGAGGACCCTGGAGAGTTTCTGTATGAGGAAAATGGCGAACTCAGGCCTTTCAGGTAAAGAATGTCCGCGAGGGAAAACCATCTCCCGAAAAACATACACCTCTTATGACATGGAAAAAATTTATATTCTGTAGTGGGTCTCTGAACAGTAAGATGCTGACAGATTGGTATGAATATCGGGCTCATGAAATAGAACAATGTTCCAGTCAGGTAAGACAAGACCTAAATTGTCTACTCCGTTGTTATAAGCCATGCAGCAAGGCCGGATTTTTGTGGGAATTCTGGGACACGTGGAAATAGCGTCTAGCCCACGGCCCCCATGGAGTGTTAGACTTAGAATGTAGCCCCCTAGTCAACTACATGATGTATGCATGTACTGTACATATGTATCAGTGCATGTATGAATTATGACTGTACGACGCATCCAATATTGCTCTTCATTACATTACTACAAAGTTTATTTCGAAATATGCCTTTAAAATGCACTTGATACACACATGATGAATAGTTATCAGTTTTTCAAGTGTAAACTCGATAGACTCAAAGCAACGCATAAAAATTTCAATTTGATCTATCATTTAAATTCAGCCTTAAAATTCAGTCTTTAAATTCAGCCCTTAAATTCAGCCTTTAAATTCAGTCTTTAAATTTTAAATTCAGCCTTTAAATTCAGGCTTTGAATTCTGGCTTTAAATTCAGGCTTTAAATTCAAGCTTTAAATTCAGGCCTTAAATTCATCCTTTAAATTCGGGCTTTTAACCTTCCCGAAGGGGAGGTGCATGACTTCTCAGGGGAGGCGTAAAAAGATCTCAAGGGAGGTACCTGCCCGCCTCCCCACACTTCCCTCAAAATCCGACCATGCTTTCCAGAAATAGAAAGAATTGTTTCTGAGCTTAGAAAGTATGGTATCAGAATGGTAGTTTCTGTTGAAGAGACTTTCCTTTTTACATGGTTTTCTTACAAAATCTCCCAAGAATGATTTCATATTTTGATTTTTTAGATTGATAATGCTTTGGAGCTTGTAAAACTTGGCAAGGAAAGAGGGGTGAAGGTTTGTATTTTAAAGCCAGCCTAGACCCAGGACTTTTACTCGTTTGGCTTTGGCAGGTTTGGCCAATATTGGGCTAGTGTTTGGTAAGTATGACGTCACATTTTTATTTCACATGTGACGTCATTCTTACCAAATGCTTGTCCAAAATCAACCGAACCTGCCAAAGTCAGCCGAGTAAAGATCTAGGCTGTTTTGAATCGTTTATCTTGCCACACGTAAAGACGCACTAGTTGTAAAAAACCTGCAGTAGACTTGTAGCAATGCTCTTCCAACAACTTGTCAACAGGATGTGTTCGCACTGCTTGTGCCCAGCTTGTTGACAACTTGCTACAAGGTTGTTGAGCTGAACAGACTTGTCGCAAATTGTTCCAACAACTTGTTATCGTCCTGCAATTCAACAATTTGTCCACAAGTTGTGAATGACAACCTTGTAGCAACGTGATAAAATAACAGCATTGTTACAAGTTGTTGATAAGCTTGCTACAAGCCTGTTGCGAACACATCTTGTTGACAAGTTGTGAGATTTTTGCATGTGTATTTGGAGGACTAGAATTGACTTGCAAATTGTGGAATATTTTCTGTTCCTAGGGCTTGACATTTCTTCACGACGATTTGATTACCTTGGGTGCCTTAGTTTATGAGGTAAGAACAAAGTCGAGGCTCTTTGTTATAACACTTTAGCAATGAAACGTTTTGTCATTTTTACACCTACAAGCAACCAACAACATTACGTGTATTTGTTAGTGTCAAGGAGATTGCGTTGTTGACCTGAAGTCGTTTGAAAATTTGACCAATCTGGAAAAGATGAAATTGCTCGTTGCAAAAGTGAGTCTTCCATTGTTCTGAAAATAGCGTGGATGTATCAATATGTTCAATAACTCATTACCTAATTTTCGTGTGTACTCTTACCCGTGATATTGTAGTCCTCGGAGCAGTCCTTCGTCAAAGATTTTAAGAAATGGGTCGTCCCATTCTTGGACAGAGTGGAAAAACGAACTCGAGGCAGTAAAGCCAAGTTGATACAGCAATACATGACGGAAACGTCAAAGGTGTGTTTATTGAGTCTTTAATGATGTGATTTCTTGCACTTCACTTGGTGGAATTATAATTCCACCAAGTGAAGTGCAAGAAATCACATCATTCAAGTCCACCTTATCACAACAACCCGCACACCCGATTACCTATATATACATGAACTTACGGTTACAGCTCAACAGCTGACCTCTGTAGCTCAGTTGGTTAGAGCGCTGCACCGGAATCGCAGGGCCGTAGTTTCAATTCCTACCAGAGGACCTTGTGCTGCATTTTTCGCAGTCGTTCCTGGTCAGGTCTTAAAATGTATATAATCACTTGGATTACAAACCCTAACATTCTAATTGTTGAGTCTTTCCATGGATTAGTTAAGTTGTATGCCGATATAATAAAGCTAAAAGTCAAAATGTCGCTATGCTAATATAATCAATAGTAGATTTTTGTAACTTTTTCTAACATTGATTTTTTTAGACGGATCTGACATTTTCACTCAAAATTCTACAGCAGTCTTCTGCAGAGGTGAGGATTGAGGGGGACTCGAAAATGTGAAAGGCTTGCTTCCAGGTTATACCATAGACCGTAGACTACAGTTAGTTTAGTTTAGTTAGTTTAGTTTGGTTAGTTTCCTGCAAAAATGGCCTAAACTATTTTCTTTGACAGTTAACCGAGCCGTTTATCCCTGATGTTGCCCGACAAATAAAGCTAGCTATCGACTGCATCTATCTTTGTTCGAGGTACAAACTGAAACTACGTCTTATATAACGTTCTACCGTCTTATTATTCATATTTTACTGTATTTCCCACGGTGCTATTCCACCAAAACGTCTTACAAAAGGGAAAAAGGCAGTTTTCCAATGATTGCATTCCATTACATATTGTAGTACATGTGTTTTCGTCTAAATTCTCGTCATTCACAAATACGTCCTATTCCGTGCTGTTCTCCACGACATAAAACACAACAACTTTTTGTTGAAAAAATACAGGGAGAAATTTGTCGTATCGAGCGAAGGCCGTTCGTCTGTGAAATATGATGTTTTTAATATCTTGTTTTTAGAGACGACCAACTCGATGAAGCCGGGCTTATTTTGAAGTGCTTTTCTTCAGAATCAGAAGGGTATTAAGACTGCAAATTAAAACTTGTCTGCTTTGCGTAATGTGTTTGAGATATTACTAAACTCGCTATTTTATAATCTTATGACTTATTGCTTGTTTTCCGATTCCAGAATTCTCTCACAACAGATTGTCGAACTGCGCAAAAAACTTGAAGAATTGAAATTACATTTAGAGTAAGAGTTCACAAGATTTTTAATTATGAAATATAATTGTTGTATATGAAATATAGCTGAGTTTATTAATGAACTTGTTTTTGTTTTGTAGAGGGGCGAAAATTCTGTCTGGGAACGGGTTTCCTAAACCGGTTTCGTATTTAGTTGACATAAAGGTTTGCTACAGTATTTAAAACGATATCTTATATTAATAGACCTTTCCCCTTTTGAGTGAAATTTTGATCTTGACAAGTCTGGACAAAAATTTCATCACAGCTTGAAAGAGCATCACAAAATTAGTAATATTCCGAAGTTTCGTTGCGAAATGTTGTAAAATGCGGATAATATAGCCTTGCGAAGTTTGCCGTTTTTCAGTCATTTTGCATTACAAACGGGAAATTGGTAATCAGATGATCAAACTGATTATCAATTTTCCATTTGTAATACAAAATGACTGAAAAACGGCTCAAAATTTCACTCAGAGGGGAAAGGTCTGTTCATTGTCTTGACATTTATTTGCTATTTGCTCTACACGTAAAAACGCACAAGTTATTACAGGTCTGCAAACAAGTTGTTACAAATCTGTTGATAAGCTGTCGACAACTTGTGTTCGCACTGCTTATTTCCAGTTGTTGTAACAAGTTTGGAAGAAGCTGTTTAACAACCTGTGACAAGCTTGATGGCATTATCAGACTTCAGGTCACAAGGTTGTTCTAACAGGTCTGATACAGTCATGATATAACAGGAATGTTACAAGGTTGATGACACAAAGTTGTAACAGTATTGTTACATCGTGACTGTATTGGACTTGTTTGAACAACCTTGCGACAAATCTGATAATATTAACAATGTTGTTACAAGTTGTTAACAGCTTGTTCCAAAATTTTTGACAACTTGGTACAAGCAGTGCGAATACAACTTGTTGACGGCTTGTTGGCAGACTTGCTACAAGATGTGAGATTTTTGCGTTTTGTATTCGCATTGCTTGTCCCAAGTTTCCAACAAGTTTGGAACAAGCTGTTAACAACTTGTAGCAACCTTGTTGATATTATCAGACTTGTTGCAAGGTTGTTCCAACAAGTCCGATACAGTCATGATATAACAATATTGTTACAACCTTGTGTCGTCAACCTTGTAACATTCTTGTTATATCATGACTGTATCAGACTTGTTAGAACAACCTTGTGACAAGTTTGATAATGCCATCAAGCTTGTTGCAAACAGCTTGTTCCAAACTTGTTACAACAACTGGGAACAAGCCGTGCGAACACAACTTGTCGACAGCTTGTGAACAGATTTGTAACAACTTGTTTTCAGACCTGTATTGTAACAACTTGTTGGTTTTTACGCGTGTATGCTATGATGTGATTTCTGATCTATTTTGTCTTTAAGGCTGACAAAGAGGCAGTAACGTCTGTTATGATATCTTTATCTCAAATTGCCAAACATAGGTTGGTTTGCATTCAAATTTAACGATAGATGGCTCAGGTCAAAACCTAGTGTCCGCGTGATTACAACCAAGGGCCTGGGACTAGTTCAAGAACGTTTCTTTATTCCAAAAAAATGCTTCAAAATTAAACCTTAGTGCAATATTTTATTTTTTACCAACATTAAATTACATTACAGTAATTAAATACACGTTACGGAACTAGAAGAAAAATATGCAGTCGAGAAAAAAAATTTAATAAGTTGAAAAGCACAAAAGTGTTCTCGGCAGGGCTCGAACCTGCGACCTTCCGCGTGTTAAGCGGATGTGATAACCACTACACTACGAGAACTTGATAACTACCCGAGAAAATTATGGTTTATAAAGGTGTGCTATGCATAGATACAGGTGTTGTGTTTATCGATATCAGTTTGTATTAAGGTGGTACCATGATGTTTTTACATAACCCATGACGTCATTTCATATGATAAGAAAATTTATAGTGAATTTTGCCCAATTGAATACTCCAATTTATAATGTGTATTTATTTATTTATTTATTTAACTTTGCCAATATTTATTTATTTATTTATTAGGCTTTGCCAAATCAACTTAAAATCACTTGTTGTACATACATTAACATAAACGATACATACATTGACATGGCTGGGTATACGCTACAGCTTCCGCCAATTACAGCGACCCTTTACACAATACAAGACAAACAAACTTTAAAATATCGGGAGTTAAAAGCAGAATACCCCACCAATTTCTCTTTATACAAAAATTTCTGTATATCAAGCTTACTAAATTCGTACCATGCAGAATATATTTTAATT